ATATGTAAATGCTGATAGAGTGCTAATGATTTTCTTTATGATCAGTTATATTACAATAGAAGAACTTGAGCAAGCTCTTCGAGAGTTTGGCATGAATGATGGGAAGGACATAAAGGAAATCATTTCAGAAGTTGACGCTGATAATGTAAGCACTGAATCTCAATATCATGGGCACGAGGTTGGTAACTAACAAGAAACTAAGCCTTGCTCAGTCTCTCCTAATAAACGGGATGACTACACAATTTTCAACACATTGTTTCCAAGTATTTATTCATTTTTTCTTAAATTTTCTATAATCTTCTTGGCAATTCTAAAGAAATTGGCACTTAATGGATCTAAACAGTTCGAAAGAAATGCATGTGAAATGCAATTTTTATGTTTAATTGTAATGTCATTCTTTGACTAAGCAAAATTTTGAAATACATGCAGGATGGCCGAATTAACTATGATGAGTTTGCAGCCATGATGAACAAAGGTAATCCAGATGCGTTAACAAACCCCAAAAAACGACGAGACGTTTCACTCCCTAAATTTGATTAAGTTCAACATGTAGATCTATAAATTCATCATATACCTCAATTTCCTCATCAGAACACTAATGTACATGTAAGATGCTAAAATCATGAACGCTAATGTACATGTCGTAAGGTGCTAAAATCTGTAAGAAATATAGTGAGGCCTTTTTCAAGAGATTAATAGTATTTGAGGTTTATGTGATACTAGGGGTGCTAGCTTGATTGGATGTACAAATACTTGTACCAATGAGATAGAAACAACTACTTTATCTCTATTGATGTAGCATCCAAAATATTACACATGAACAGACATTGATTCTTCTGGTATATGCATTTACTTCTCTAGCTATCTGTTTCTCTACATGTACTGGGAGAAAGTAATGGAAAAAGAACATTGTTCGTCGTGGCAAAACAATATGAAGGCAATCAATTCTCATTTTCACACAATTAAGCCCGTCTCTTAGCCTTATCAACCACAAATATTTATGTATAAAACTTGAAGATGGGGTCCATACCTCGTCAATTTAGGCAACATATGTCTTGGTCTGATTACAGCTTGAAGTGGCACAGCTTCTTGCTGTACATGTCCAAGTATCTCTTCCATATTTAGCTCACAGGGTTACTGCAAATCAAATGAGTGAACCAGAATGCAGAAAGGATGGTTGCAAGTTTAGCTTCACCAGAAATCTTTGTTCCACGAGGCTCCCAGAGCAATTAGCTTGCATGTCAATGTTGCATCAACAAGTTTTCAAAGCAAAACTTCACATAGAAGCCAATATTTCATATCAAACCTCCACTAACATGTTGTCATAGCCAGTTCAATCATCAACTCGAAAGGTAAAGGGGTCAAGGTTGAATCGTTAGTTTAAAAGAATTAAAAAATTACAAATTTTTAGATCAAACCACCTTTTTTTTTTTTACGTTGAACCAACCCAATCTTGGTGTGAACATTGATAATTAGATGTTTAGTAAAGCGTATTAGTACTAGAAAATATTAAATATGCGACTACTATCTAACATTATTGCATAACAAACGTATCGCAAATTATATATTTAGGTATGTGTACATTGGTTTGTGCATAACATAATCTAAAAATGTAGCAGTTTAGTGCATCTGAGAAAGAAAAATATTACAATGATGTACTATACAATTCTATCAACTAAGCATTATTCCATCTAAACAAAATGAAAAAGTGCATTTCTTTACATAGTTTCAGTACGTAAAATGCTGATTAAAGTATAACAATTTAACCTGATCTTCAACTCGTCATTTTAAACCGTTTCACTGGAGCTCGTAGGGAGAACAAGTATTCAGCATCAGCTTTGTCGATCCCATCAAAAAGATAACTAAATGGTTGCATTTTAATGTACTTTCCTGAACCTGGAACAACCCTCAGTTCATCGTTTTCCCAGACAATTCTGCCTCCGGAAATGGTTACTTCAACTTTTCCCTACAAAAACAAAGAAAAATAATTGTTCAAAACCTAAGGGCTGTTCTCTTTGCCGTTTTCAAGCCATTTTCAGTTTTTAATTTTCGAAAACACTGAAAATACTTTTACTTACCTATTTTCAAAAACGAATTTTCAAAAAAATAAAATTTACAAAAAAAACAGCAAACGCCAAAAAAGTCGTTTTGGCTGTTTTTAGTTAAACCAAGCCAAAACTTCAAAAAAGCAGAAAATGGCTAGTTTTGCCAATAGCGAGATAGCTTAATTGATTGAGTCACGAATTTTCTAAATGTTACGAGTTCGATTCCGTTTCACTGCAATTCAATACAAAGAAATTTTCTTTTTATATGCACAGTACAAAAATTATCAAATAAATTGGTGGGTGGGTGCGATTTGAACCCGGCATACCAAAATGGAATTCAATGCCTTAAGCACAATAGCAGTCGCTTTTCTTTTTCTTACAAGTAAAAATACTATATATATATTGGATAATCAGTTTTTCAAAATTAGAAAGTAAAACCGTTTTTCATTTTTTTTAATTTTTGAAAACAATTTTTCAAAATAACAAAAAGAACGCATTTTTAACAATCTCAAAATGGACACTCAAAACACAAAATCCAAAATGAATTCAAACTCAAAACTCAAAACTAAAAACTAAAACACGAAGAGAACAGTCCCTAAGATTTCATAATTGGAATTTTTATAGATAGAAATAAACATGCACCTTGAATTTTAGATGAGTAAGTTTTAAATTGAGTAATTTTTTTATTAAACAAAATTGAACATAAGTTAGTCACTCATTTTGACAAAAAGTTGGGTTATTTTAGGAACTTCTATTTTACTTCGAAGTAAGAAAAATATATTTTTTTTAAAAATGTATGATGCCATATTTTTGTATTGAGGGAAACTTTGTGATTCCACTTCTACCATTCATTTCATCTTTGCTTTAAACTTGTACTAAATTTTTTGCTAAATTATGTGGCTGCCTACACGTTATAATGCCTTAAAATGAAGTTGGCTTTTTGTCTTTTATTTTTATGCAATCTCTTTGTACATGTTCATGTGCCAAGTTAAAAATACTTTGAATTGTAAAATGGCTATGTTTGGCAAAAAAGTTAAAACTAATTTTTAAGCTCAACCAAACAAGACATGGTCATCTTTTTCGGTGTTGTCATAACTTACCAAAGTACTCAGATGATACAGTTTGTTTCTTCCTGCTGCATCTTAATCATGCACTAAACTTAATAGTTCACTACAAATGGGGAGGATAAATACCTTTCCTCTTCGTCCCTCGTAAACATTTGTATCTGATCGAGAGTGGTGGAAACTTGAACTTATCTCAAAGCTTGAATTGGGATTCAATATGATAATATCTGCATCTGATCCAACAAGTATTGCACCTTTTCTTGGATATATATTGAAGATTCTAGCACTGAAAAACAATAAGAGAAAAAAAGTATGGACTCAGAAACTAAATTTTCCTTATTCTTTCGGTTAAAGGGGACGAACTTCTAGGAGTTCGCAGTATGTTACGTGAAAATTAAAAATTTCAAAAGGTCAGTAAAATGAAAATACCACTCGGTACTTGTCAGCCTAACATAATCAGTGACAGATATTTGTCCGGACACCTAGCATAAATAGAATAACACAAGAAGGGAATGAGCGTTGCAAGTTGAGATGGGCAAGAAGAAAATGCTAATGATGAATATTCCCCAAATTTAACAATTTGAGCAAAATTACCAGTTCCCAAAAGAAGAAGAAAAGAAAAAAAATGACGATAGAATAGTGATAATTAGAGTCTTTTGTAAACCGTTAACTGATTTTAAAGATATATATTTTCAGCAATAAAAAAGAGTCTATGATAACATACCACCATTGAATCCCAGACTATATGCATTCTCTCCTCAAGACCTAGAGGACAAGAAGAGCCACACAGGAGAATTGTAAGTAAATACCCAGAATAACCAATGAACTCAAGCCAAAAATTTATCAGACATTGAAATATGAGAAAGATTTTAGAGCACGCTATTACCATTTACACCGTTAGGTATTTTCCGAAAATCATCAATTCCTAATGTTTTTTGGGTAGAATTAAAAGTACAGTGATCAGTTCCCACTAGCTGCAACATGTAAAGCACCTTATTAACTGTATAAAGTACAGATATAGCAATTATCTGGATAACCGTAACCTGAAAATCAGAAATTGATGCTACAGCGGGATAAATTTTACATGACCTTAAACCAGCATATAAATATTTAAGTAGAAACTTCTTGGGAAAATAGGTTTTATGGATAACATAATAAAGTAATAGACTAATGCATAAGTTGCCAGCCTTTCTAGCATTTTGATAAACTCCATTTATAATTTATAACTGTTAACTAATGTGTGTTGATACAACCAGTAGTTTTATAATGAAGAGAGCAAAACCTGCAGAATCCCGGTTGAGAGAGCAGCCTGAAGAGCCTTTCCATGCCCTGGTCCTCGAATAGGTGGGCTCATAACGAACCTGTAACGTAGAAGATGACGATTCTTGCTTAAGGTAATAAGCATGACACTTCATTTGGTGGCATGGCAAAGTGTAAATGTAAAACTAAAGGGAAAACAATGAACTCTTACTTGGCTGCTATCTTGAAATCGGGATCCCAGAGGCAAGAATCATCGAGGACTAAACCCGAAACTACTGGTTCTCCAATGACCCTTTTACCTACATGTAATAAAATGAAAATAAAGAATACATCAAAAGATTAGCTTCTAATGTGTAGATGTTAAATTCAAGAAAAACACTGTTTTGCGTCCGTTCATTTTTTTTGTCTTTTGATGCTTTGGAAATCAACAGATCCAGTATCACAACACTTGAGAGGCTGTCAAAGCTAAAGTTGAACAAAGAATACAAGGAAAAGAAAGGAAGTTTCTTGTACAGTAAATGTACACTTGGAAACAAACATATATTCTCTTTGGGGGGCTTAGTGTATAGTCTTAACTTAACAATAATACCAGCATGCACATCAGAAGAAAATGATGTGGAAGAACACAATAAAAACTTAATAGGTTTGGAATAGAAGCAAGCACTAGCTTTAAAACATGAGGGAATTCTATAGAGATTATATGGTTTTGTAATTATGGGCACTGGGAGGTTCCCGGGTTAAAATATTAATACATTCTTGAGGATTTTGAGCAACAATTACTTGTAAAATTTTAAATGTTCAAAACCTGATTTTCGAGCTCTAGCTATTTCTTCCATTGCATCAATGCTCATGACATGAACGACGTATAGAGGTGTGTTCACGAAACTAGCTAAGCGAATAGCTCGACTAGTCGCCTCTCCCTCTATCTGCGTGAATTTTTGACAAAATTAGGAGCTTAATAGGCAGAAGATATCTAAGAAAACATTGTAAACTTCCATACAGTAATGCCACCATACTTATAGCTGCTGCTACAGAAACAATGGAAGGGCAATCTGGATATTACGTTTCAAAATTATTCACATCAGTTAAAAATTGCTGCGTTCATTGTTGAAGATTGAATAAGATAGTAAGTTAGACCGGTTAGTCAATGATCTAAAAGATGCTATCTTATGTTTTCTGCAAGAAAACTAACGATTCAAGGGTTGGTAATTAGATGAGAAATCAATAGATTGAAAATAAATAAAACAAATAATCAAATTCAGCTGTTGAGGGCCCACGCAAGATCTTTAAGCTTGTGCAAGTTGACGCTGGATGTCAACACAGACATAAATCTTTTCATGTTAAACAATACCTGTCCAGCAATTACAGCTTCATATAATCATTCTCTATAGTTCTATGTTTTCACCATAATTCATTTAGAAAATGAAAAAACTTGGAGTAAAAATAGTGGTAGTTAACTTAAATGAGAAAAGA